GAATTAAATTCATTACATTTTTTTCTTCAGTTTACCACAAAACTTAATTTTTTGTTATTACATTTTTTGTTTCACAGAACATCTTCCAGAAATGAAAAAAGAAATGTCAAATATACTGAGGCTTCATCAGAAACAACTCCGAGCAAATGTAATTAAAAAAAATGTGTTGGTTCTGCGCGTTACCGAGCGAATAGTCATTGTGTAAACGCCGCCTGGTGGTTGCTATTTGAATAGGCCGTACGCCCGCTTAGTGATTGATACTGCTAGAAGCAGAACTGGATTTAACAGCCTGTTTGACAACACTATTGATTGATTGAGAAACCTGAGAGGATGTTTTTACAATGTAATATTTTGTTTATTCAAAACGGCAAATTAAATGGCAGTTAAGAGAAAATGTGATAGTTTATGTTAGAGGACCACATTTTGTATATCATGACAAATTTCTATAAGAACGTCTACGTCACCTATATAAGTATTGAGATTATCAAAGATGTATTTTTATCGAAATCAAATATGTGGTTAGTATGGCAGACAGTTTAAAAACTCTGTAATTTTACGTGCATAATTCTGCATATTTGTCGAGTAACAATCTGATCAAAGTAGAATCCAATTAAAAAATGTTTTTGCTAACTTCTATATATCTCACGCTATATATATATGTGTGTATTCTAATCTAAGTCTGTAGAAGGACATCTTTATAAATGCTAAATTTTTTCCGAAAGTTGTTTATTTCATTTTCAGTCCTTTCTTAGTCTAACGTAATCTGGGTGGGTATGGAAATAATCAAAAGCAATGAAATATTTCGTGGTATGCATCACATTCTATTATTTGATACCTGACATTTAAGAAATCGCAAATATTATTGATTATACTTTTTTTTCTGGTGCCATGATGTTAATCAAGTTTATTGTTACAGCTATATTTAGATGCTTAGATATTTTTTTTCACCATAATCCGAGCACCTGTTTTAGACCGGAAACTAACAATGTCGTTTTGTAAAAAAAAAGCAGCGGATATTATCAATTTACAATAAACAATATATAAAACAACCAACACTCGCTAAAATGGGTTTTCATACAATCCGGATGGATGAATGCCATTGTATTAATGCGCTAGGTAGACCCTTGAAATTCCCCTGAAAAGTTTGAAATAACTTGCATATGGAATTTAGCAACAAAAGAAGTTTCTTTAGCTTATATTGTATTTGAATATATATCACAGCCGTAAACAATTATTTAATTAACGATTCATTTTTCAAATTTGGAAATGAAAGAGGTACATGGAAATATGAAACTTACACTTAGCAAAACACCACGGAAAATAATGCAACGATTTAAACAATGTTCTTGACCAAGAACTTCCAGTACTCAACTATATGGTAACAAATTGTTGTTTTGAAGATTTTTTAAAATATTAATAGATAGATGACTATGAAAATTGTGCTTTTTATTACTGATGTTTCTGATTCTACATAATGAAGCGTGAAATGTAAGATACCCCGCGAATCACTCGTTCGCACGCATATAGCACAATCGAACACTGATTTGCACTTATCATTTGGTATTTGAATCTTATTCATCTTTATCTTTTTATCTGGAATGTTTAAAGCATTTGCCGCTCATCATTACATCTGTTTTAGCGAATTAATGTTCATAATTTCTCAAAACATTGAAGAGCCAAACAAAGTTCAGGCTGAAATCTCATTAACTTTTTGAGAGTGTCTGAAGCCTTTGGTCGTACGATAATCCAAACGAATGTAAATAGTATGAATACTATGTATTGAATAGGTTATAAATGTTTATGATGTTGTTTGGATGTATATATATTTATATACGAGTGTAGAAAAATGAAAATTTATTGAGAGGTGACAAAAACAAAATGGCGAGCTCGATGAAAGTTTACGTTTTTATATTCTGCTGAATATTTAGAATTTCTTTTATTTGTTAGAGCAACCAAAGAACATTTTCTGTATAACATTTGAATAACACATCGAATTTAAATTTTATGTACTGTAATATATATATATATATAAATGCGTAGAATTTCCAGGGCTATGTAAACGTTACACAGAACGAAGGTCTTCTTTGACTTTGCACCAGCAAAGCGAAAAATAGTCTAAAATAAAGATTTTTAAAATGTTGCGAAATACTTGAAAAACTTCGTTGATTTTGGATCTCATCTGAATTTACATACGTTCATTGACAATGAGATTCACTGCTCAAAATTTTTATCTAATCTAAAACAACATATCTGAAATGAATCATAAACGCGGAAAAGTGAAATGTGTATCGAAGTGTGAAATGAGTGAAAAGGTTAGAATTTAAAATTTTGGGAATTAGGATAGGATTTTAAGAGAGAGAAAGCCACTAAGACGGCTTAATTATATGGCGAACCCAGGCCTCTCGTCCGGGCACCAGTCGATGTCGATTATGGAAAATACTTAGCCAGTTATTTGTTTTTAGAAGCATGGATATGATGGTGGAGGAAGCCGTAACCGATCAGCGGTGAGGTGAGCCATTAGGGCGCGACGACACCAGCCATCTATCTCACATGATTATCCCTAACGGTATTCGAACCCACGCAAAGTAATCATATGTACGTTGGCAACCGTAATTCCTAAAGTGTAACACGGTGCGCCACGCCACCGAGTGTTTGTCTAGTCCTCGGATTAAGAAAACACCATCCTATCATTTATCCTATAGCAGAGGTGGGCAACCTTTTCCGTATCGCAAGCCAAAATCGGGTAAATTTAACGACGAAATTCTTCCGCGTGCCGACCAAAATTAAAAGCAATGTATTGCTACTTTCAAAGCGAAAATACACAATAATAAACCTTTTAAATATGTATAGACAGATTCACTATATCAGTCTGACAAATAGATTGGATTATTTTTCTTATTCTATATAAGTGAGACTTCTTCTGTTGCATTACCGATGATAGAGATTTTACGTTGGGTTCATATTTTGTAACTTTCAAAGAAATACACGAACTACTGGTTTTATCTTTCAGGCTACTCCTGTTACGAGACTTAATAAAGTTCATAACTGAGAACAGAGATTCACAAGCATTATGTACATGAAAACATGAAGAGTAATGCAGTTACAAAGATTTTAAGACACGAAATTTTTTCTAGAATGGCATTCCAATCCCGCGATAGTTCGTTATCTGCACTTCTCTCTTGTATCCCCTTCCCTAATCGATAGGATAGGATTTACATATTTATACCGGAGGAGAGGAAAGCCGATAAGGCGGCTAAACCACATGGCGAACCGCGACCTCTTGTCCGGTTACCATTCCATGTCGGGTATGGGATTAGTTGGTTATTTGTTTTCGGAAGCATGGACTTAATTATAGAGGAAGCCTTAACCGACCAGCGGTTACGTGAACCACCATATGGCAGCGAGGAGTCCAGCAATTCTCTTGCACATAACTATCCCCTCAAGGGATTCGAACCCACGCAGAGTAATCAGAGGTTCGGTGGCAAGCGTATTCCTAACGCTTAGCACGATGAGCCACACTGCCGCGCACAATCGCTTATATTTCTTTCGAAATCAATTTATAACAGTAAGTTGTCATGTAAGTCTAACCAACATGAGCTGTACAACTTCATAAATCAAGCAGAAATGAAGAAAAAGGATGTCACAGACCAACTATATTACGTAAGAATGTAGCCAAAAGAATGCTGCGCTCTTCTCAACAAAATTTCTTGAGAGGAGGAGAGAGAGAGAGGTACTCATTTGTTACGTCATAATATATTTTATTGTAGCCATATGTCATGAAAGGACAAAAAGAGTTCAAATAAATAACGGATTGTTAAAAAACGATAAGAAATAAACGAACACCCAGTTTCATCAGATAATTCAGAGTCTTGAAACTTTTTATCTGAAGGAGAATAATCTCGTTTCTGAGGCCTCGCTCCCGTGCCGAATAAATGGGCTCGCATGCCAAGTTTGGCACGTGTGCCAGGGGTTGCCCACCCCTGTCCTATAGTATATTGTAACAGAATGTGTAGCACAAAAATGGGCACTGTAAGAGTGAAAATCTTGTATATATTTCTGAAACTTTGACATCAAAATTTGTACATGTGTAGGCTTCGAACAATGCAAAAAATCGTCATTTCTAATGGTGGAATAATCTTGAATATTTGAGCTACTATATTCCAACTTTTAACGCGTTGGTCAAATAATCATCACTTCAAAAGTGCAGAGGGTGTCGTAGGATGAATTTTATATTGAGAAGTGTACGAATCAATACGAATCGACGGTAGTTTTTAAAACATTTGGCAGATGTACACTTAGATAGAAGTCAGTAAAAAAACAACTTTTTTGCGCAATGATTTTTTAGTTTTATACGCGTCTCCAGTTCAATAAGTGCATTAGTAATGAATGTTTATCACACTATTAAATGCTTCAATTGTTCAATTTATCAATATTGACATCACTGCAGAAAAATAACAATTGTGTGCGTCAGAAATGTGACAAATATGCGTGATATCGTATAAAGCATGTACGTGAATTACCACAAAAAAAACGAAATAATCAGATATATTTCATTTGTTTAATATTTTTAAACGATAATCAGCTTTTGAAAACCTCAGGCTAATAGATCATACCATAAAACGGCGGCTTAAAGTATTATGTAATTTTCTAAAAATGTTGAATCTGTTGTTTTTTGTACTTTTAGTTTGTATGTATGCGATATGTAATTAAAATATTTTTGTCAAACGATAATAAATAAACAATGATCAAATGATTTTGTTTTGGAAAATACATTTTGTATATGCAAAAATAAATATAGTAAAGCAAAATAAAATATTTTACAGTTATGTCCACGAGTTCACCACCTGACGCATGTTTTCGTCTCCAAACTGAACCTCAGCTTTCCATTTATAGTATCAGGTAAAGTAGTTGACAGTCATCATTCCGCATGCAACCTAACTTCAACTTCTTCTACTTTCTATTTTTCTACTATTCATGAGCTTGCCACGGACACGATAGAATATACATATAGCAAAGCAGTTTATTGAAGATGGTGAAATTTACACTGATGAGACGGATATTGTGAAAACAAACGCATTAGTAACAAACTGTTCAATATGACAAAAACAAATACAAATTTTGCAAAGTGTGAAGCCGGATGGTTGTGATAGTTGAATCATACATAACATATATATATTCAAAATTGGTGGATTGAATTTGATCGTTGTCGAACAAAAAAGATTTTGTCCACCGGTATATCACCAGTCGAAATGCCGCGCATAACTTTACAAACTACTCCACGGCAGTCCGGTTCAGAATTTTTATAGACGAGTTATTGCCAAACGTTATTACATAGTCACAATCAAGATTTATTTGGTATATATTACGAATAATAAAGACTATTCATGGGTGTTGGAAGCATATTTTTCACAGAGTCGTCTGGTGTGATTGGTTTAAATGCACGATCAACGCACAAATGGAAACAATCATTTTAAGTCCAGGGTATTCTGCACGAATGTATATGTATATCATAAATCCCATCAATTGCCTACAACATGAACCTGATTGCCAAATACAGGGAAAAATTAACTTTAACAAATGATATATCATCCATAAATTGTTAATCTTTCTAGTCGTCCGTTGTTGGCAACAATCGTTACACAGAAACCAAGAGCTGTGTAGGAAAATTAATTTATTGAAATACTATTGTTAGTCAGGCTTTACATTTTCATTTTATTATTCTTTGCCAAATATTCTCTTAAAATTTCAGCCTACCAGGCAGATAGTTGGAAGATGATGATACATCCTTCAAACTAAAATCATTTTTTCAGGTACATGATCAACTAGCTTTGTAGCAGATAGTAAGGATTGATATATGGAGAAAAATTAAAGAAACATATACCATGTAGACAAGTGAAAAATGTCAGGTGTTTGAACACTCTGTGGGTATATTATATGAAATTAATAAAAAGTATTAACCCTGGTTTCCATAATATGGGTCAAGAAAAAGCAATTTTTCGATGTTCGTGGAGAGTTTGTTCAAATGTTGATTTTTATTCAAGTTTTGTGCTATTCAGTTAGACTCCGTCTCCACGACGAGATCCATCGTTCAGCGGACTGGGTTCAACTCCGTCATCGGGTGGTAATTCGTCGCCTATGAAAGATGATTCTGCGTCTCCTTCAGATGTTCCTTCATCTCCCCGACGGTCACTATCATCTACACGAACTTCGCTGGTGATACAAACTTTTTCTTCTAATCTTTTGTTCATTTCGTCTAGTTGCTCCCAGCTTCCCAATTGAAACAGGTTATTTTTGTCTTCCACCATTGACTCTACTGTTTCGGCACAACGCTTATCCTTCGACTCAATTCCCAATACGTACAGCTATATTAAAGAAAGCAATGCGTTATCGTTTACCCCAATATGATTAGGCCATATTTCTGTTCAAACAAATCTAACGTTGCAATATGTATATTTACAAATATTTTATTAGTTGTAACTACTTTGAAATACCTTTATTCCACGTTTCTTGATTGTTTTCAGTCCGTCTTGCAGCATATACTTATCAGCGGTACGACATCCGTCAGTTGCAATCAGAAGCTCGTGTTCGATGCTGTCGTCAATATTGGGAAAGCTTCGCATTCCTTGAAGGTGAAAATACAATTACAAAATAACTTGAAAAAAATAATTATATTGGGTTGGGACTGATTTGCTGTTTTATAGTTTTATTTTTTTTATATATATATTGTCTGGGTGTAGTGTGCAGGGTTTGCGAAGTGGAAGCCGGGGTTTGGACTGATATATTGCCCAATCGGTCAGAATTGGCTTTTTTCGTTGACTCCGAACAACTCTGTTCACGTGACCTTATTTTATCACGTGTAAGTCACTGCGTTTGTTTTGATGAATCCGTATTGCCCGTGATTTTAATTACTAGTATTTTACAAACATAATTAGAATATAGCTTTTATTGGATAAACTGTTTTCACTGATTGTGGAAACAATTATTTCACCAGGAAAAGACATATTACGACGTGAAGCATGCCGGGAAGTATAATGTTTTTATTGTAATTGTTAAGACCTATTGAGTAATGTTAAAAATGATTTTATCAATGCCTTCGACAAACCTCCAGTCTGCTGGAAAAGCCAACGGTTGGCATCTTCTAGTGCATCTCCTATTCTGGATCTATATCCACCGAGGAAATAAGCTTCATCAATTGCAGCAACGACATCAATAGCATTATCAAAATCGTCAAAATCAAATAAAGTGCGACTAAAACGAGCAAATGAAGTCATTGCCAACTGAGTTTCTTCCGATCCAATTCCACCTCTAATATTTCGGGCGATCGCCTGTAAGTACGTGGGGGAAATTGTTAAAATATAGAAACGCAAAAATCCTTTTCATACTTTTCTGAACGTGTCACCACTCCTTCAAAACACACAAGGTAAAAGGGCCCAGTCGTACCGCAGAATTGCAAGTGGAATATCAGGTTCTAGGACTGAAAGTGAATTTAAGAAATATAGAACAATAGCCTTCTAGCGAAGTACTGAAAAATTGAAAGCAATTGATGCATTCGCAGTGGAGAAAGGCTATTTTCTAGTAGCAACAAGATACACCCTAACAACATTAAAAATTTGGCAATACAATGAATTCATATATACATCCCGCGTTCAAATATACTATGTAACACACATTTTGTTCCTGAATTCTAATCATTATTTTCTGGTTGGTTACACCCCAAAACTGAAAAATGGCTATATTTGAAAAAAAAAAATTGGTCAAAGATATGGAGAGTTCCACAAAATCAGGTTTTTGGAATATAAAACAGCGTAAAACTTTCATTATAACATAGTAGAGTGCTAGTTTTTGTGTTTTTGATATTCTTATAAAAATTTTTTTTTTCTAAATTTCGATATATTGTTGAAAACGATTTCACGATCCATATGTAGTCACCAACGTTGTACTGTCATTGGTAGCGATAGTGTCTAGAAAGGACAAATTTTAAATGGAACATTGATATCAATATTTTTCTAGGACAGTTGTCCCATATGATGCCGTCTTTACTACAGAAAAATTCAGTGCTAGTCATTTGGGCATGTTGTAGTGTGAAACTGTGTGTATCTACTATCGTAATGGCAAAATCAACATGAAGACGGACAAAGTAACTTCGTAGTCTGATCAGAAATCCTACCATACCTAGGATCCCAAATAGCATCCGAAAAAGGATATTTAGAATGTGACAGAAGCAACGTTCATCCTTCTTGGTAAAGAAAGTCCGTTTTGATGACGTTTCTGTTACTTGGTGAGGGCCTACTCGTAAAATCGACTGGAACCAAAGTATGAAATTTAGGAAAAAATTCCCTTTTTTATTAATTTCAAGTCATTTTAGGCCCAAAAAGTTGTTCAAAATGGGTCTTTATGTTTTAATTTTTGCATTTACATTTTTCACCACGAATGAAAAATAGAAAAGCATTATCTACACTTTATAAAAATAATAATCACTTTCATTTTTGAATAAGCTGGATTCGTAAACTACCAAGGTTATTCACTAAAGTCGATTCATGGAAAGTTGCCTTGGGACTTGGCACTGCTTAATTTTGATCTGGATCTCATGCCGAAATTTCACGGAATAAAAAATCTAGGAATTTATTATCTTCACATTTTTTGTCGAAATCAATCATAGATAACATATCGCAGATTCTTGGTGACAATATTAATAAATACATTTTTAATTCCAACAAAGCTAAAGAAGTTTGATAAACTGAACCAAACGTCTTCATTTTGTACCCAGGAGCCGGGCTCCAGCGCCAAACCCTATTACATTTTCAAGTTTGATCACTGTCATGAAACATCAGCACAAATTACTTACTTTAACTTACTTCCAATTCAACTTACTTTGAAGTTTTCTTTGATCTTGGCAAAGTTCACCCAACCAATACTTCCTGATTCATCTCCAATCAGAAGAAGATCACGCTTTCGATGATTTTTCTTGTAACCAAGAACTTCTTCAGTAAATCTGCAAATAGTTTTCTCCAGTGCTTTTTTGGATCCAGGAACGATGCAAGCTAGCGTATTGTATCAAATAAATGTTACTACATAAATTATATGAATAAATCCTACACGCCATAATGGAATGACTGACATAAACACGAGAAATTAGAGGTTTGTACTAAATATGATATGTACAAATTCGAGCGTTTAAAAAAGATTCAAACAGAAACAGACGATATCTTGTTTTCGAATCCGAATGTATGAAACGTAGAAAACCCCTATTCGCGTTCCCATTTTGTTGAAACTTTGAGAAACTGGGGAATCGGGTAGCAAAAGACATACGTTCAGCCAGAAGTGGGTCAATTGAAGATTTTTAAACTGTGTACTCTCATCACTCCCTAAATACCATTTAATTTATTGCATCATAATAATAAACTTTTAATGGCTACGAGTAGGTTATTGGAGATATTGAGTAAAAATTGACTTGTATTAGCTTGGAAACCCATGCTTAAGAATATAAGCAATGTCATTAAGAAGCTCCATTATCCGAATAAAATTCACGTCGTTGATAAAAAAGCAGCATTCAATTGAAGAAGCTTCTATACCGCAATTAAAAATTAGAAATTTGCCCAGCAGGTATTGATTTACAACTGCCGAACACTTATTTCTTGAATACGAAACCACATGAATACCTTCAGTCTCAGATTCTAGTGGTGGACATTCTCTTCCAGCTCCAACAAGAGGAACGACTATTTCCTGCCTCCTTGTCCTTAATTCACCGAAGCAATCAGTCCATGGTCCCCATTCAACACCACAGTCAATGCAAGCTAATAAAATTTGTGTAATAAATATTTGGGTGAACAAGCTATATTTGAACTTGGTTTCTTTGGCTGTAGATCTTAATCACTCTATCACTGGATCACTCTTAGAATTGTTAAAAATAGCAAAGATTATATTGATTGAAAGTCCAAATTTTGAGGGGTTACCATTACACTAAATTTCGAACAGACCTTCCTCTTCTGTTTCTAATTCAGGACATGATTCTCCCCCACCGAATGCCTCAACAGCAACATATTGTCTTCTCGATCTCATGTTGTTGCTACATTCACTCCATTCCCACCAATCAACTTCGCAATTTGCACAAACTGCAAAAAGAATTGCAAAAATGATGGAATATGTCGAATATTTTCGATCGAAAATGCTTATTCATAATTTAGTGAAGTGATGAAGTTCTTAAGTACACAACCTAAACTTTTCCTAAAACCATCAGTTTTTATATGATTGTGAAATTATGTACCTTCCTGTTGTGCGTCCAAGGGTGGACATTCCGCTCCGTAGCCAACGTGAGCTACTTTGATGTACATTTCCCGTATTCGTGAACCACTTTCGCATTTTGACCATTCTCTCCAATCCACAACGCAGTCGACACAGTCTGAAATAACAATAAATATATTTTCATTTGAAGTGAAAGTGATCATGGTGAAATCTTTATTTCAAAAAAATATACGACGAATTAAAATTCTGTTATTTTTCTATTAGTGACATTAGTACGAGCCCCAGGTTAATAAAACTTTGTACCCACCTTCCTCTTCATCTTGCAAAGCTGGGCATGGATTTCCTCCTCCGTACCCTGATACAACAATATTCTGTGTTCGACTTCTTTTTCCATTTCCACATTCGCTCCACTCTGACCATTCGACTTCGCAGTTAGCGCATTCTGCAAATGTACGCATATATATAAATTTTGGAGTATGCGTTTTCTATCAAACAATCGGAGATAGATCGACTATTATTTCCACTATATATAATGAAATTTCATCGGAGATAAAGACCAAAATAGCATGACAGAATTGAAGAAATCAGTATATTTGAAGAATTGGAGAGTACTGAAAAATTCGTTGGTGGCGCATGTCTCTATATTCAACAGATGGTTCCATTACATTTGAACCCACGTACATTTGAACCCATGACAATTGCACCTGCATACTATTGCACCTGTGGAATTTTTTTTCGTTTTACGGATATTTGAACCCATACTAACCCTAACCCATGGGTTTTAGCACCCGCATATAATTTGAACCGGCGGATATACACATGGGTTCAAATGTACGTGGGTTCAAATGTACGGTCACCTCAACAGATATGTTTGATTTTTGATTAGATGTATGCAGAAAAAACAACCATAATGTTCATTTATGAACGCCAAATGCGAAACAAACGATTATAAAGTGATTTACCTTGGGTTTCAAATTCCAAGTCTGGACATGGGCTTCCTGCTCCTACTTGTTCCACAAGTATGACTTGAGATCGCTCTCTGTAATTATCAACGCACTCACTCCATTGCTCCCACTCTACCTCACAATTGGCGCACACTAATAATTATAGCAAAGACTTGATGTATGAATAGAACACGACTTTAGTTATCTTTATTTCTTAGTAATTAAATTCTAAATGGGAGATTGTGAATTTGTCAAGCGAGCGCAAACAGTCCAATAAATTGAATTGAAATTTATGAACTCTAGCTGAATCTAAACATTTATACGAATTCTGGATTGAACTAAAATTTCATCATGAACCGCAGCTCGAATCCGCCCATTTTAACCCTTATTGATCATATTTGAATTAGTTGACCCAAAAAGTTATCAAATTTCAACAGCCATTTTAAAATTTCCCTCGCTATAGAGCAAAATAATCACTTACAGTCAGCTTCAATTTGCAGCTCAGGGCAAATATCTCCGGCTCCAACTGGGGCTTGCTTTATGAATTGGTATCTAAACACGGTGTTATCTATACATTCTTCACCCCAAGGTCCCCATTCCACAATGCAGTCAACGCATGCTAAAGGAATTGTGAAATGTATCTTCAAAAAATATTCATTTCATAATTTCCAATCCTTCACGTAATGTAATATGATATCGGCTGCAGCGTTTTTGCATTATTTACCCTGGGTGCTGGTAAATCAATATTAGGACGGTATAATCATAGCAACTATTATATACAGGTGTACCAAAAATGTAGGGCGAATAAACTACTGGTAAATTAAATGAGTATTCAACTAGTACGCTTACGCCATAATAATCAAAATTGTAATTGAATCGTAAAAAACAATTTTAACTACCTCATTGAAAAAGCTTTCGTATAAAAAATTTAAAATAGGCTTGTATCCCTTAAAAACAAATTATCAGAATATAATATAATGAATAGGAAAAATGATCTGTACAGCGGAAAATGCGAAAAAAAACTACAAAAATACATGCAGCAAAAACTTTCATAATATCGTCACAATTTTTTTCTAAACTTACTATCTTCCTGGTTTAACTTACATTCAAATTCCTGTTTCCCTGGTGGACAAGTTTCCCCTTGTGGTTGGACAACAATTTGTTCATTTCGAGTTCTATCGCCGTTTTCGCACTCGCTCCATTCACCCCACTCATAGAAGCAGCACTCTATGTAAATTGCAAAATTACTAATTTATAAATAAATACATACAAAGTTGCTATGAACACCCAACTAATGTACAACTGCAAAACAATAGTCGAGGAAATCTCTGCAGAATTTGAAGTCGTTATTTAAATTTTCAGTGCCATGCCATTCTTCGGAAAACAAATAATTGGCTAAATAATCTCATATCCGACATGGACTGGTATAACCGGACTGGAGACCGTGGTTCGTCATATGATTAAGCTGTCCATCGGATTTCCTCTCCCTCGAGATAAATATTATAATTGTAAATTCAACCCTATCCTAGTGTCAATTGCCAACGTAAAAGTTTCACCTTGAACTTCATAATTCTCTTCTGGGCAAGCTTCTCCTGCACCTACTGGATCTTCTTCAATAATCAAAGTTCTCTCTTGTAGTCCATTCAAGCATTCGCCCCACGGACCCCAGGAAGATACACAGTCAATACACGCTGTAAAATGAGCATTAAACATACTGACGTGATTTGGTGTTTTCCCTAAATTATTACAAATCAAAGAGTCGATAAAGTCCCACTGACATTGATTTTTAGCTGATGACATCAACTACAATCGACTGTGTTCGTGATAGGGCTGGGCATTTTGAAACAAATATTCGCGTCGAATAGTAAATTATTCGAATCGGTTCAGACAAAGATTTCGAATGGCCGCCATATTGTTATTTTCTCGTTCGCTGAGATTCGAGGCGAGTTCCTCAATTTTTTCCGTATTGTAGCCCTATTTTTAAAATACAATTCTGACAAATGACTCTTTTTATTTAGTAAAGTATTGATGAAACATATCCATTAATGAGTGTGAACACTCAGCCAACGGCCTGACACACCTTCCTCTTCAGTATCAAGTTCGGGGCATGGTTCTTCAACTTCAAAAGGTGCTTGACTGATGAACTGTTTTCTTTCCCTCTTTTGATTCTCACATACTGTCCAATCTCCCCATGATATCTCGCATTTGGCACAACCTGTATGACATCGTGGTAGGTTTTAAACGGTTTTGAAAACAATGTCTGTTTTATCAATGTATTTAAAAAACGATACCATAACTATATGATTATAATTTTTGGCTCAAAACATATTGAGATATTTTTACTATACGTATTTTGCCTAAAGTGACTTTCAAATTAGGGTACCGTATAGCATAGGGTATCTGAATATTGGTGGTGGTATTCACACGTATTATACTTTGATACTGAGTTTGAAAGTTTAATTGAAAACCAATAAAACAGAAGTATTCACAGTGATTTAAACAAATAAAATGTTATTGTTATTTATAATTTTGTTGCACCACTCAGGTAAATTTTTGCTATAAAAAAATTGTAATCTTTACTCTTAGAATCAGAATTTGGTGAACGACAGGGATCTCCTGCTCCTCTTGGTTCAACAACTATAACTTCAGTTCTCTGGCGTTGACCTTCTATGCATTCTCCCCAATCTCCCCACTCCATTTCGCAATGTACGCATTCTGTTCATTTGTTAAAATACAATGCGGTAAAATAAGTTAGGGCAAGATACCATTTGACAAACTGGATTTTTGAAATGACAAAGTTTCATTGAACGTGTAACCCGCAATTGAATAATCGATCAATGAAAAAAAAGAAAAAAAAGGATATTCAATGTCTTTTGGGCCATACCTTCAGTTTCTTCGTCTAATCCAGGAGGACACTGAGCTCCGTTTCCAATCGCCGGAGATATAATTTCAAGTTGTCGGCTTCTCGCACCTGCCTCACATTCGCTCCAGTCAGACCAAGCAACTTCACAATTCCTGCATTCTGTAATAGGAAGAACTCATATTTTCTTACTTTAGATGCTGTATAAAAATAAAACACTGAAATTTTAAATTATTTTTATTATGATTAATTTTTAGTGTTGATAAACTAAAGTATAAAGATTTTCCTGTTAAATTTGAAGGTTTGATTTAACGAATCACAAAGTGGAACAAGAGTAAGATATATGTAAAACCATCCTTATTTTTCGCTTTGCCTCTTCTTTTTATATCGTCCAAGTATATCAACGTTATAAAAGCTTGCTAAATTGTTTCACGATTTGTTTTAATGATTCAGACTAAGCATTATTATTTCTGTATCGTCGTGGCCACACACCTTGTTCTTCCGACTGAAGAAGTTCAGAACATTGTTTTCCTCTTCCTTCAGGTTCAACAAGAATAATCTCTTGTCTTATGCTGACGTTATCTGTACATGTGCTCCATTCACCCCATCCCTCAACACAGTCTGTACATTCTGTACACATACAAAATATTATGAACATTTAATTTGATACAAGTTTTACATATTGTTGCATTTTGACAAATGTGAATGTGTGACGATGTAAGACGGGGTAGCGAAGTAAGTTAATATTGTAAATTATAAAAACATGTAACCGGTGCGCACACGTATTTTAAAAGGAACTTCTACTTTATCGTACACTTTTTAATGTTAAATAAAAATGAAAAAAATTATAAGAATTCCAATAAGAATGACTGTAGATATGTTCACGTCCTAATGAATGAAATATAAGCAATAAGAATACACATACTCTCTTTTTCAAGTTCTAATAACGGACATTCTTTTCCTCCGTTGGCCGCAGCTTGTGTTATGTATTGCGTTCTCGCCGCTTCACCCTTGTAGCAATCGGACCATTCAGACCATTCAACGACACAATCGACACAATCTGCAGAAAATCGAGGATAAACAAACATTTACAAAATATCATTAAGCAATCAGATCTTAGTAATTAACAAACTAAAATAGAATTTTGCGACTGAACTGAGTAACTCTTGAAATATAAAAATTAACTTGCCTTGTGTTTCCGTCTCTCGAGGTGGACATTCAGAACCTCCTACAGGTGTCACTTTCACATACTGTGATCGAGTTCTAGTCCCTCCTGAACATGTTGACCACTCTCCCCACTCAATAACACAATCGAAGCATTCTGTAATAATAAGTTACAGAACAACATATATGCAAATTCAACAAAACAGATCTAGTTTATCATGTGACATAAACTAAGGGTCAAATAAAATTTTCGTCAAAGATGCGAGTAGAATTGGCAGATCAATCAGGTGAACTTTCCCTCTTTGAAATTTGAAACAAGAATAGCATTCCACAATATACATATAATTGCTGAGTATATTTATTGTTGCTACTTCGGTATGCAATCTCTGCGGGTGTGTGATCTCAGGGATTTTAGTTCGAATTATGGCTGGGAAATGAAATCTATGGTAATATCTTTAGAATATTAAACACATACCAATGTGGCACCAACCCTGCCATCGTTGGGTTAGGGTTAGGTTGATACTAAAATCACTGAGATCACACAACAGCTGGAATCACATACCAAAGTGGCATCTATTTGTTTATCCGGATATATTCTCATTTCAAATTTTACATAAAACCATGAGGTATAGCAACATACGTTGCTGTGACACTTTTGGTTCCGGGCAGTCCTCTCCAGCCCCTACTTTCTCCTTCAGTACGTACTGAGTGCGTGATCTCACTCCATCATCACATTCTTCCCAAGGACCCCAGTCAAGTTCACAGTTGATGCAATCTAGAGATTCAAGACACACAATAAACAAATGAACGAAAGAGAAAGTTAAAAGTAATTGCAACAAAAAGAAAAAATCGAGGCAATTGGAAGAATCGCATAGGAAAACGCCGTTCTTTTCTAACACGTTTTGTATTGCTTGAAACAGACCTTCCACAATTTCAGGGCACACGACTGATGTTGATGACGACGAAATCATGACACTTTCTTTAATACGTTTTCCGTTTTCACAAGCAGACCAATCACCATACTCTTCTTCGCAGTTTACGGGATCTAATGAAAAAGTTATTCAAATGAAGTACATCAAATATGAAGATAAAATAGTTATATATATATATATATATATATATTTTCTCTTCAAATGTGTGTGATACGGTTATACCTACATATTTTAACTTCAAGCTTTTGCTTCTTCATATACGATTTTGATAGTCGATCAATTCGATCTTTTCTGGACGCGGCGTGACATACATTAGTATTCCATTCATTGCGTTACGACAATTGTGTGGATATACATATTTGACCTAACTGTTAAGTTAGCGCGTCATATACATTGGGATTCCAAGTTTCCGAAACAAAACCTATATTACAAAAATTGAACCAAATGTCTTGATTTTACCTGGCTCACACATAGGTGCTGGATCTGACCAGGATTCATTTTTCTGGCAAATAACAGATTTACTTCCAGTCATCGTGTGTCTATCGTTGCATGTAAACATGCAAACCGATTGAAAAGTATTACTGTCGGTGCAATCTACACCTCCGTTGTCAAGAGTAATGTGGTGAGGTTGACAATATATTCCTGTATTAAATGGTTGCGTAATATCAAATGATTAACAGTTTTATTCCGACTATAATTAGTTGATTCAAAAATAAATTCCGAATAAATTTTGTTTAATTAAAATTTTACTGATATACTATTCACAAACTGTGATTATGACATCTTCAATTACTGAATGAAATAAAACACTGTATACGAAAGTTCATAAGTATATATTAAGTTCCCCATATGTTAGAATTACGTTTCAGGGAAATCTAACTTACGGACGCAATATGGCACATCTGCACTCCAGGCTCCATCAGCGTCACATATAATCGAATCACTACCCTCCATATTTGTGTCCTCATCACACGTAAAGAGGCAAATAGATCCAATGCCATTCCCGTTTAGACATTCCATTACGCCACGCTCTGGTGCAATGATGGATGGGCATGTTACTGACGCATCTAAATAAACACAATGTTGTAGGAGTAGCTGAACATATTTGAAAAGCACAATAATTTCAAGTTATGGCTTTTTAATAATATTCTATCATATACTTGGTGCTTGCGACTACAGAGAAAGAACTTTTAAACCAATAATTGAAGGACTGAAAGCATACACCAATGATGATTAATAAAATCATAGGTAAACTGTGAATTCACACAAAATAAATTATTAAACTTGACTCTTGAAATGATAGCAAAAATTGATAATACAAACTGTTGGAACTGTTACTCTACCGGTAGTCCATACTTTTTATATGCATTACAGCAGTAGATAAGTTACAGCAAAGTCTTACCAGGAGGAAGTCTTTCTCCAGTAGATGGCGCTGTATAATTGCCATAATCCGGTACAGGTTCTAAAATAAAATAATGATCTAAATTAGCATTAGCCTTTGATTTGTTTTTATTTTGCAAAAAAGTTTATCAACAATTCAACTTGCTTCTACTACCCTGTATATGGGAGTGGGTTTAATGGCCTTGTTGCCAAAATGTTTCTGTTAGTATAAAAACCGTGTTCCAATCGACCGCTATTTATATTTTCAGTATTTTAACATGAATATGAGGTACTCCCGAAGTTGATTTTGAGGTGTGATACCACAGTTTAATTCCTAACCTGCATATAATTGTATCCGGATATTCAGAAAGAGGCATTTATACCAGACGGTCAGTCAATCACATAACACATTTTATAAGTTATAAATAGATTTATCGCTAGGCGAAAAAAATCTACTACCGCTAAATTTTAAACACTTGGAACTTGGAACACTTTGAACACCTGGAAATTAAAAGCTGGGGAGGATAATGGCGGCGAGTGAAGGTGCCGGACTAACTGTGAGTATATGGGAAAGTGGGGTTTCTTTCACGATTTTGCTTTCACAATCCTATATTTACAATGTCTTGAATGAGGCTTGTACCAAATCTGCTTCGAGCTCGCAAACCTATGGCGCGCCACCCTGCCCACTTAAAGGCATACTACACATACAAAAATTGGTGTCCACATATCCCGATAGTTGCTCTTTTGATTTAGATAAATAATATAAAACCTCTATTTGCACGTTTTCAAACTTTTTGGAATATTACCTAACAATGAAAAATACATATTCATTTTTAAAAGTTATGATTCACGTTTGTGACGGTATTTTACAAACTATGTGTGAGAGACTATCAACATTTTTGGGAATCAATGTAATGAAATTAATTTACCGTAATCATTTCCATTCAATGAATCACCACCATTCAGAATATCGTCTGTATCTTTTGGGAACATAACTTCTGAGTCAATTGGAGGAATGAGAGTATCTGAATACAAACTTTATCAGTTCTAACTTTGGTATCATGGATGCGTATATTCTAGTAATAAATAACAGACATGATTTTTTGAACCAAGAAAAATTAACGGTGAAAATTTTATTGAATATCAGATCAGACGACTTATATTGACGTTCCTATATGCAAGCCCAATAAGTGAGCCAGGAAGTTTAAATCTTATTTAACCTGAGATCCAACTTCTAATTTTGGATGTATCCGTTCACTGTCGCCGTCGAGTATGATTTTAAAACACGCATTCGTCTAAAATTTAATCGTACTCAGGTACAGCTATCATACATAGCTGCCTATTTCTTACTTGTGCCGAGGAATAAAAATACCTACTGTCATCTGGAGGAACTCTTTCTCCATTCAGTAAGTCGTCTGCGTAGTCATGAGGCCCCATAACTGCAAAAATAATTCGCTTATGGAATAAGAAGAATAAATAAAGAATTTAAGAAGCTTGAGAATAAATATTGATTAATTAGAATGTATTTTATCTTGATTTCTTAAAAAAATAAATTTTTTGTACCTTCCATATCCATGGGTGGCATCTCATCCCCGTCATCATAAATATAGGCTACTGATCTTGACACCTCCTCTGAAAAATACCGTTTATATTGATATTATTCGTCATAAATCACCCACGCAATGTATTCATTTACACTTTTATTCTTCTTATTTATTGTGAATTATTTTTGAATATAGGTCTTGCAAATTAGAATCGATTTTAAACTGTAGTAAAAATATTTTCTTATTATCACCACTGTATCTATAATATCGTCACGCTAATAACCGAATTGCATAAGTCATTTTTGGCGATTTTGAGTTTTTATTAAAATAGGTATTTATGTAAGGCTGCGCACCTGTCTGTTAACTCAGATTTTATTTTAAGAATTCCGAAACCTATAAAAATGCAGATTTAGTATGACATGCACATTTGTGCAATTGTTTCGTCATAATGAATTATCATGGTTACCGCAGGACTATTGTGACGTCACAAAGGCAAAATAACCTCGGCGAAGTATTTTCCAGTTTTTGCATCTCGGATTCTAGCTTAGCGCGTATTAATTTGAATTTATACTACAGTATAGGAAGACGTGCATTTGTGATATTCACTGTCCGAGTCCAATTCACCTTGGTTGGCTTTTATATTGGGTGCATTGCTGTTATATTCTTTATATTTATTCTCATTCTCATTTCGGTGGGTGTACAGAACATGTTATATTGATGAAACATATATTTTTAAACATAAAAAATAATGCAATTGAAACTGATTAGCTATTTTGGGGATTATACATTGTAGATAGTGAGAATTACATTCGTTTTTGGAATGTTAAGTTTTCAGGACTGGTGTATGGTGGCCCATCGTTGTCACGCGTAAAATTAAAAAAAAATGAAAAAAATAAAATGAAAAAGCGAGAATAAAAAAATAGTTGTGAAAAAACATAAAAATAATTGAAAAAAAAGAAAAGAGAATTAAAATTAAAAAAAAAAAAATTAAAAACAAAAACAAAAAAAAATAAATAAACGAAAAAAAAAAAACGAAAGAAAAACAAATTGAAAAAAAAAAAAATTGGATAAAAAGAAAATAAAAAGGTTGACAACGATGGTCCGCCTCGTGGCCCATCGTTATCACGCGTTTTTATTTTTAGAAAATTTGATGCTGCTTGGGACCAACGTTGTCAGGCTTAATCCTACACGCACAAATGTGTTTCCTGGGTTTCTAACTCACTACTGATTTTCAAGAGCAATATCCAATAAATTCAAAACGAAAATGTTCTATAAATTCTCCATGCTACAAGTTCAACCACAAGCAATATATTTATAATAATGATAAGAGAATATAGAATTGAATACGAAAATTTGTTTTTACGTGTAGAAGGTAATTGAATTGAAAAATGCTGCTTAACTGCTCAGTTGTCTGGAGTCTCTGGACACTCGTGCGATGCCGGTACGGTACCGTCTGACCGTACCGGTACCCATGCAATCACTCATGAAAGAATGGGAGATACGGATAGTCTCGTATGATGAATCAATCGCCCGTGCTCAACCATTTATTTCAATCCATACCTCGACTCACTATATTCTACTAGGATCGAGGTATGGATTGAAATAAATGGTTGAGCACGGGCGATTTATCATTTGTCTGGATCGGTACGTTACGGCTGTACGGTATGAGGCAGGCGGAAAGAGAGTGTTTCAGTAGTCTATATTCTACGAGACTATCCGTATCTCCCATTCTTTCATGAGTGATTGCATGGCTACCGGTACGGTCAGACGCAAAGCGACTATAACCGACTATCGGTATTTGGTAAGACGGTACGGTACCGGCATCGCGAGTGTCCAGACAACTGAATAGCTAAGCAGCATTCTCCAATAAAATTACCTTCTACACGTAAAAACAAATTTTCCGAATTTTCGTATTCAATTCTATATTCTCTTATCATTATTATAAATATATTACTTCTCGTTGAACTTGTAGCATGGAGAATTTATAGAACATTTTCACATTGAATATTGCTCAAGAAAATCAGTAGTGAGTTGGAAACCCAGGGAACACATTTGTGCGCGTAGGATTATGCCTGACAATGTTGGTCCCAAGCAGAAGCAAATTTTCTAAAAATAAAAACGCGTGACAACGATGGGCCACGAGGCGAACCATCGTTGTCAACCTTTTTATTTTCTTTTTATTCAATTTTTATTTTATTATTTTTTTTAAATTTTTTTTTTTTTTCAATTTTTTGAAATTTTTTTTTTTTTTTTCGTTTTTATTTTTAATTTTTTTTTTTTAATTTCAATTTTTTTTTCAATTATTTTTATGTTTTTTCACAACTATTTTTTTATTTTCGGTTTTTTATTTTATTTTTTTTGTTTTTACTTTCAATTTTACGCGTGACAACGATGGGCCACCATACCAGTGCATATAGTAAAGTTGCAAAATTGCGTATGTCCCCAAGTCATAGACACATTTCTGCCTAAGTCACAATGCGCCATTGTGACGTCACTTAACTGCGTCATACAAATTAACTTAAATCCGGGCACGATCAAAAAATTGAACCATGGCAAATTATTGACTCTCAATTGCATAACAATATCATTAGGAAGTTTTTTACGTTTTTCTCAAAACTGCTAAAAATGACTTACGCAATTCGGTTATTAGCGTGACAATATGAAATGTGATTATGCAGTAGTTATATCTTATAGAATTTGAAACAGAAAAGTCAGTATGCTATTTATACCCATTCTAATGTCCACTTTTTCATAGGCACATTAGATAGGATAAAAACCTCGGTCTACTAACCTATAGACGTGATTGCCCTTCCATTGATTCCAACATCGTCATCAGTTACCAATGACTCCAATGCTCCATTGAGTTGCTCAATTGAAACAGTTTGAGCTTCTATTGTCAGAGCAACTTGCGTCTCACTTCCCACACTACGCAAACTATTTATCTTAATGTCTAACTGCAAACGAAGAAGAAATTTAATCACAGCAGCATCAAAAATTTTCGCAGAAATCATAGACTAAGCATATTAGGCATGAATTAAATTTTGACTAAACATTAAAATTCTTACTTCTTGTTCACGTGAAAACAAACACAACGTCCGAAGTCCAATTCGTCGGAATGTAAGTCGGGCCTGTCTTTTGGGTGGGGTTGAGACTTGAGTACAATTTTAACAAACAAAAATTTTTGAAAACGATGATTGATGTATTTGAATGCTTGTGTTTTAGGTTCAAATAAAAAAGTAAGGTCAGTTTGAATGAGTTTCTAGTTGTGATATCATGAATTCAACTTCAAACTAGCTAGCTGATTTGCTTGGCAGATTAGTCATTAACAACAATTTGAATTGATAATACAAAATCATACATACCTCGTTTGGAGGAGTAACAAGTATTCCTTGTGATGCTAGTTTACCAACAAGATGCAAAGTAAGCTGGAATAGAACAAAATTATATCGATTTCATGAAAATTTGAATTTGAATCGTTGCAAAAAAGCATTACCGGCAAATAAGAACAGCATTTGTATTAACAAGTGAAGAGGTTTCGTTAAAATAATATTAGTCCATCGGCCTGAACTATTCCAGAATACTATATTCTAAAAACAACGTAGAATTTTTTCATATTCACTGTTCTTAATTATTATACAAGAAATTTGTGTAATCACATACAACACATCCAATTGTGATAACTCGAATATAGTCATTTAATTTGTAACAGGGTATTCGACTAGTTTTGAGTCAAAATATTAAAAAGTTAAATTGCATCAAGTAGCCTATAAAGCAAAAGCTGGGTGATGATCTTGGTGTGGCAAACTGTAAACATCAATAATAAGCTGGAAATTACCAAATCACTAATTTAATAACACGATTTAATTTTGTTTTCGAAGCATAGAACCAGACGGCCCAGAGCGCTTGATCCATCTTTGAGTAAAAGGTTAATGACCCCCGTTTCAGCCCGATCTTAGCGCTATAACCAGAATAGGCAATAATGTACCCGGAAAATTTCTGTTCTTCCCAAAATAGAAGCATTTTACTTATCCGTGACTCTCGTATAAGCCTTGTCCGGGTGGAAAGTGGGCATTTTGAAACAATGTCACCTCGTCCTAATCAAGCCTTCCCGGCCTAATTAAGATTTAAAGCTCAGTAAATGAACTTATTACAAATTATTGATGTAATAGCATATCACCTCTTGTTGAACAGTCAATGCTTCTGCCTTGAAATCTTCAGAATCGATATCGCTCAAATCAGTAGATGAACTGTCATATTCATATGTAATTTCGATATCCAGGATTATAGTCTATATAGAACAAGTGCAGTAATCAAAAAAAGGTCAATAAGCTTGATTTATTTCCTCAGAATAAGGTCGTAAAACCTCTAATTTTTAGCCCAAGGCAATGATACCAGGGTGCAAGTAATGCTAGACATGCGATGCAATGGCAATAGATTCGAAATGTTTGTCTAAATATCTTAGTACAATGACACTGGCAAAATACTGAAAAAATAATTACAAAATGAAGTATAAAGCAGAACTAACACTCGAAAGTGACATACTCACTTCTGTGGGACTATAGTCTGGAGAATCTGTAATACCATAATCTGGATCGTCTGTCATTGAGAGTTTAATTTCTAAAAAAAAAATAAGATTATTGGTCAATTGCCATAATAGTCTATGTCAGCTATTTGTCAACATGAACCGCTGACCAGTCAATAATTTCAACATAGATATTTCAACTCAAATTTTTTTGAAAAAAAAGGAATTTCTGAAGTTGCCGGAAAACAACAACTGCAGAAACTTAGATTTCATATCAACAGCCCAAGTTTCGATGATGACTCATTTTCCCCTGTCTGTAAAACTATCATAACGGATCATATATCAAACAAACATGATTGTTTGTGTTTTGTTATAATACCTGTAGAAAGCTGATTGGCATTTACTGAACGTATGCTATAGTATCCGCTTTTGGACTGTCCCCAAGCGGGAAGGCGGGTTTGTCACTCATGTCTGACAAAACGTCACCACGCCTGGCAATGCAAAGAGGGTTATAAAATCGAGCTTTGGATTACTCCTTAAGTAGATGGATTACTGCTTGATCAAATTACCGAAATTTTTGAATATTGACTCAGTTACCTGCAGGAAATTCACAACACGTTAAGCGGAAACCTATAAACATAAAATACATAGGTTTCCGAATTGCTTACATATATATTGCTTACATAACTCTGCTGTTAGCAATTAGATCCAACTTTGAAAGATATTTTACTCCAGCTTGCAATATGAGTCAGTTATCACGATGTAAGTCAATAGGAACAGTATTTTAAACGTGATTTTGTTGCAACGTATGAGAATTCAGAACAGCACTATTTTGATAATTTCACAAAGAACGTTGGCCAAAAAGAAAATTTCATTCTATTCGAATTGTTAGAACAAAACCAAAGTTATTTTCAAAGAATTGAAGTAATTGATGAATATCAAACAAATGAAGATGCTGTATTTAAACTTTTGAACTTTTAGACGAAACTCAACTTTTAAAATTCCTATAAGAACACCTTTCTAATAAAACGGCAAAGCAAGTGTAATTAGTCTTATATTGAGTGATATTAAACATATATCAGGGGATATTTAACATCGTGCATGTTGTTAACATATTACCAAATGTTATTGAATGAATGGGTTGTTTATGCAGATAGAGGACAAGCTATACTTTTATACAAGCAGTCGTTTTATTAGAACTCTACTGACGTGTTATGCTATTCCCAAGCTGTGGTCCGCTAAAGAAATCTGGTATAGGACATACAGTTTGATAATATAAGTATTGAGTGCATAAATTTGCAAATACACATTTTTCGCCTTTGCAATCACTGCTGGGGACACTGATTCCCCACTTTCTGTTTCGAACACAATGCCCTATTGTGATGCCACAGAGCTGTGAGCCTGTGATATTGATGCCATAACAAGCTAACTGACTGCAGAGGTATTACATGAACCCAAAAATAAGGACATCAGTGAAACATAGAGAATAACAAAGAACGAAATGTTATAAACAAAATGTAATCATGTCAGTGCGACTCGTGTCTAATCACATTTTGCACTAGAAAGGATTTGCTCTATAGCAGTTCTTTATTCTTGGAAACTTTCTGTTCCACCCCAATTTTAAGTTATATTTTGATTCAAATTGCACGGACTGATTTTGGCCTGTAGGCTATTGTTTTGTCATTGTGTCAATTGATTTGCTGTTATTATGCAATGAGAGCGCGTAGAAATCAATGAAGTTGTAAAACAGAATTTCTAGCGAATCATTCATTTGAATTGATCAATCTAAGTGCCTGGTATAAGAACCTTCACCTATAAATTAAGGACAAAAATAAGGACGTTTGTTAGAAATAAGGACAAAATTATTTTTTAAGACAAAGACCTTCAACACAAGGACAAATCTTAGAAATAAGGACGTTATGGCAGCCCTGGGTATAAGCAGTAGAGACGTACCGATGTATCGGTATCGGGTATCGGTATCGGCAACATTGGCCATTTTTTCGGTATCAGCCATGTATCGGTATCGGTTAGATTAAGGCCGATATTTCCGATACATTTACCTTTTTGATAGGGCCCAGAATGTTTCAAAAGATTAAATGGAATACTACTTTTTAATTTGTTTTTTTTTTGTCTGAAGAGATCGTGAGCTATGAGCCATACATGTCCCCACCCCCGCGAGAGAATAGGATTCACGTGTTTTTAGCTATTTATCAGCCAAACTAGCTCAACTAATTTGGCTATTTTCGTTGTCAAATTTTTATATAGACATTTTTAATATTACATAGTAATAATGAATAAATATATTACCGCAGCACATTACAAAAAGCAACTAGGCGCCCAGTTTTAAATCATTCAGTGGAATTGGGGTCCTTATCAACGGCACATAGACTTTTGGCACGGGTATAAATTCTGACTGTTTGTCGTCAAGTACGAGTGTCATTTAGTCCGTCGACATCGATAAACTAAATTCCGACACAATTATTCCTCTACGCAGGTATTAATTTTAATTTTGTTCAACTACACAATTACTTTATAGATATATACATTGAGAGGACCGCCTAGCCATGGCCTAGACTGTCTCAAAATATATGATAGCAATTGTAAAATATTATAAAATAGTAAAGTAAAAAAACATCCTCGACGGTTACAGGTAGGCCTTCTCTTTGTCGGTGCTGATTGATATTCTTTCATGTTGGCTTTGACTTATTGCGTCGACGATTAAGATTAGCCACGAAATAAAATATTTGTAAAATGCTTTTAATTTGAACGTATAGGACGGCGGCGCTAGAATGTGTGGGTGATATTCGATATTCTTTTAAACACGAATAACGATATTCGAAGGTCGCGATATTAACATTAAATTCAAATTGGACATCCCGGTTTATGAGTTTTCTAATTGAACACCGAGATCACTAGCGTTACTGTACAATGTATCTTAATCAGTTAAAGCAAACACCAAACATTAATTTCATATTATGTGATATATCTTTTTTTTCGATCTGAAATAATGTGTACTAAGAACAACGCTCAAAGACCATTGTTTTAACCCGTCTACTCTACACAGCAACCCTAATTAGGTAATAGTTACATAGTATCGGTATCGGAATATCGGTTATATCGGCCTTTTTGTAACTCGGCGTATCGGTATCGGCGTTTTTAGCTGGTACCGAAAATTTAAAAACGACGAATCTTATGTAAAGTTAGGGTTTATCGTGATAAACGCAGGTGGGGGAAAGGTGTTTTTATTATACCATACGACGCACTGGATTTTGGTGGGATCTTTTTGTGTTTTATTTTAGTGCACAAGGCCGCGAATCATTAATAAAATTGCGTGGGGTCCAACATAGAATTTTTTTTAAAAAAAGTTTGGGAATCACCATGCTAAACCAATCATGGATTTCATTGGCTGAGAACACACTGTTCAAGCAGCAACAGAGTGATATATATTCAAATAAACTAAGAGAGAAGTAGCATTTACTTTTTTATTGAATCGATGTGGGGTTGCAAATTTTAAACACAAAAAATGTAGCGTAATAGTCCCAAACAACGGGGTCATAGGGCCTTTTTATGGGTTGATGTGAAGTTGTTTAAAGACTTCCTCACAAGTTACGTTCTCAGAGGGCTCGTCATAAGCAGACCAAAAAGCTATAACTATCCATTATAGTATCTTTTACGCATATTAAAAAATAGGAAAACGAAGTATGTTTACTTCTTCACTTGAACTATGGGGTCATATACAAAACTCAGGTAAAAAAGATCGATGTTGCGTAGCAACCGTTTCATCACCGTTGCGGATTGTTTGGCAAATGCTTAATTTCCGCAAGTGTTTGGTTCATCATCTGGCGCTTAGCTTAACACCATATTTCCATGGCAACAACCTAGTTTTCACTTATATTTAGAAACTATTAAGATCATAATCTTTTCAACAAACTTTAAAGTGCATTCCATCCAAAATAGATTAGGCTACTACCCTGAATCTCAAGAATGATGCATAGCCTCAAGTTGTTAACAAGATAACACAAGAAATAATTATATTCGAATCATTTGATTGAAAACACTCAAAATGAATTCAACAGAAGGTATTATGAGCTTCTGTTGTGAAGTAATTGTTTGATTTCTATTATAACGAACTTCGTTGTTCAGCGGTCAACACATATGATGTCTCCTGGCAACAGACCAGAGGTTGTTTTGGGCGGTTACATGCTATAACTATGACAAGACTTTTTTAACGTAGATTGGTTCGACTCGGATTCTGACTTGAAATAATATACCTTACTTACAGCGGTGGAATAGTTCACTTGCTTAAGGCCGAAGTTGAAAAAACAAGTCCGAAATCTTCACAAAACTCGATCGGAAGCATTAGAGTAACTTACACTCATTTTGTTAAGAACTGACGTTAGCAGGTAAAAAATTTAACATCTCCATATTATTAATCTTAGACCCGATATAAAACGTTACCTTGAACGCTAATCAAACCTTTTTTGGGGTAGTCGTATTCATTCGGGGAGTGAGTTTTTGAAGTATTGGTGCCAGTTTCTTAAAATATCAAATCGAATATAGAATATGTATAGTACTCCCGTAGAATGTGAACCAGGTTAGGGTTAGGCCATAATTTCATTCCGATTTTCCTTATTTTAGTTCTATTACGAATTCGAGGACTGCCTGTGTTAGCCAAGTGAATATCCCCCTGCCCATAGGTTTCAGTCCCCTTACACAACTTGATGTAAAATAGGCGAACAAATTATTTACCTTCATATCGGTACACATACTTCTGGAGCGCCGAATATTTTTAGTAAGATATAAAATAGAAGCACAGACAAAAACATATTCTTACCCTCAATGCCCAATATTGCGCTCCCAGCCACAGTCCCACCATCAGTTGCAACGTCATTAACTGCTTTTGATAATTCTTCTTCTGTTATTTGATAATCACCAGGTATTTTGACGGCAATTTCGGCTTTTGTAGATCCTTTAGCAAATGATATAACTTCTACAGTGACGTCCTCAGAAATCAACCCAATGTTTCTTGCAATTTGAGTCACCATCTAGAAATAAGAGAGAAAATGGTTTGACAATAAATCTGTTATTATTTTCTTATATAGGAATATATAGTTTTCAATGTTCATTGTTTCGGTGTGCCAGTATACGTGTATCAGATTTATGTATTTATTTTCGTTGCACAAAACCAATATGAGACATGAAATAAAAAAAAAATAAAATACATGTTACAAATTACAAAAATGGATATTGGTTTGTTGTAGTTGACGAGGCGACGCGAAAGTCTCAATGAGTCATCTAATCTAGTCAGCGACACCTTGCAGCTGAATCAAAGCAGCAAATATAGAAACGAACAACTAAATATTAGACATTTACTTAATTAAACACAATCATCAGTCATCAACCAATCATTTTTATTTCGGTTATCTGATATATACACAAACAAACAAAATGAGAGAGAACGAAAAATTCGAAGTTAACTACGGGACCCAATAATGACTATGTATCTCTGGGTGTTTCAACTCACATTAAAAAAAATGAATTCACATAAACAATTTACGTTGGGTGTTTTGGATTGCCAAATATTACAAATTCTTATCCCGTATTAGGCCCAGTATGTTCCAAATATATGATCATTGTGGTATTGGATTTTCGAGGCTCAGTCAAAATAGCTAATAAACTGGGTGATTTCTACAGCTTATCGTGTAGATTTTATTTTATATTTGAATTCTACATATCTAACTCATAGCACGTCAATGGGGTCAAAACTTAAAATAGCAATTACTTACTGATCGAGCTACTCGTTTAGCTTCTTTTCTAAATGCAGATGACTCGGTGGACAGTAAATCGACATCGAACTGTTTTCCGTATGTGATATAAAAGTAAAGGGTGGTTGGAAAAGCTGAAGAAAAAAAAATTGTAAATTTCGTGTAAGATTATTAGATTCAATTCAAGAGGCTTGCTGCACACGAACACAAATATATTTCTGTATAACGTTTCGTCTGACCGAGGTCAGACTTCTTCAGACAAGCATTTTACAACTATAACAAGAAACGCAATTGCATGCACATAAATATTGGTTTCAAATGTTGGGTCTGTTTGCGATAGATAGATATAAATAAAATTGGGACAGTTCCAGAACAATAGGGAAGCTAAATTTGATTTAAAATCAATAGATACCCCACAGTGTAGTGAGTGACATCTATTGATTTTAAATCAAATTTAGCTTCCCTATTGTTCTGGCACTGTCCCAATTTTAGTCAAGAATATTAGAATTCTTTTCATTACATTATAACACTAAAATGATATCGTAAATCATAAATATTTCCGAATTGATAATTGAAAAGCTGATTCAGTTTAGTTAACTAATAGTTACGTGGCAAAATAATGAAAGACATTGAAAATTGTTTTCTTCAATCTTCCGGGCTTCATAATCATGTTTGTACATATACGAAATTTGCGCAACTTACTTTACATAATTGACATTTCATCCAATAGCTTTCGGACATGATTTACAAGTTAAAATTTTCATCCCGCGTTATGGAATTCTTTTTTTAACAAAACTTACGTCGGTTCATTTGGAATTTTTGTACAAACGAATGAAAAAGTACTTTTAATTTATAAAATACTCACCGTCGGGATAGTGCTGTGAAAACAACAAAAAAATAAATTGAGTTTTGAGGTGTTGTCTGAGTAAATATTTCAATCATGTTTGTATCAAATTCTTTTAAAACCATGTCTATTTGACGAACCCTACCGTCAAAGGTCACTATAATTCATCAGTAAACATTATTATTGAAATGACATATTTTGAAAATATATGGAAAAAACTAATATGCTTACATAATAATCTTCTCCTGAACCGTACGAATAATCACTCAGCATCGAAGCTGTGCCTATAAATGTTAGGAAGATGAAACTTAAATCTTAAACGAATCCCACATTATAATTATATTAAATAAAACAATATTTTTGTTTGAAATTTAAGATAATAATATGGAGCGATCCAGAATTGAGTTTATAAAGGTGTGTCGCAAGACTTTTGTAACTCTTGTTTAGACGTAATGAGTGTTGATATATAGTACCGTTGAACACATTCAGTTACAATAAAACAACGATATAAATAAAAAAAATAGTTATAGTTACTAGTATAATCAGTATTACACAACCAATATAATATTATGAAGTTGATAATTATTCATATGTAATTCCAGTATATGATAAATGGATAGATAACTTGAAAAATACCCTACACATTCTAAATTATATACCAACAAAAGGATATCAATTTTTCAAAAAATAGCTTGATTTAGTAATAGAATAAGCTATGTTTTATTTCACAAGCGCCATGATCAGAAACAGCAATCAATAATAGTAAATAAGATAACAATATCAAATTGATCGATTCATATCGATCAATTCTTGGGAAGTTGATATTGATTAGAAACTGTTTATTTTATTTCATTACTCTAACTAATATATATATAAACTGATTCTCACCCGCCTGACGTTTCCGTTTTACAGTTCCACTTATGCTTTCTTGTGGTAGAAAACAAGCAACAATAACACAAAGAAAGATGAACCTCAACATATTGCAGGTTGAAGATATTGTACTTAGGGTGCAATTATTTTTTGTATCTACACCCTGCTCATTGAAAAGCAAAATAAAATATTACGACTATTCTATTCAATAAAGTGTGACATTTTCACCGTTGGCAACAAATATGAATTGATATTGGGATTTGTTAACTGCACCGAGTTAATGATGTCTGCGAGTCTGTGACGTTTTGCGACAATTAATTCCGATTCTTCAAAATATTGTAAAAATTGGCCTCTGGAGACATGGTTTGCATTGAATTTCTCAAAATACGTAAATATATGCCGATACATGGCTTATAGTTTTTTTTGACACAATAGTTTTAAAATATTTGAGATTTACCTGCATACGTGTGGAAACTTTGCAACTCCCACTGACGCTCAATATGCAACCAGTGGTATTTACATCATGAATATGGTTAAAAGTTAATGTTTGAAAAATCATACGTGTTTGCAAGGCCATATTCATGATAAGTAACTATTTCAAGTAAACATGCCAGCCGTAAATAGAAAATTACAAATAAATAATTTAAAAATTCATAATTTACATAAATAAAATCATGATATTTACATATAGATGTGAGGAATTTGAATAAGTGTATTACTTAATAGTTATTAATAAACTCTTTTCCAATTCATAAACTGTAAGATTTCGAACTTCAACTCAAAATATTGTATCGTACATAATTTTTACAAACTTGTTTTCTCCTGCAAATGACTATTCAAAACATTAGTTCACTTTATTACTTATAGTTCTAAATTATTGTATTTTGAATGATTCTTCAAAATATAATTTGAGGATATATTCAACATACACTACTGCAGTTTATGTTCAGTTAGTGTGCTATATTTTGCGTATATATACGTAAACGCTTGGTGGTAATCATCAAAATTATCACAATATATCATATAAAATTTTCACGATGTGGCTTTTGGGGATAAGTCATTGCAAAAGTCCAATTGAATAGAATATAATGATCGCAAAATGCTACTCAATGCGTCTGCTTTGTTATCTGAACAAGTTCATGGACTGAATGACCCTTTTTGGGAATTGTTAAACAAATAATGGCATATATGTCTTATATTTGAACAGAGATTTGAAGTAGCAGTCGCAATAACCATAATACTCTCATTGCGATAATTAAAAACGTTCGTCAAATGTGAACGTTCAAGAACGTTAAACACAATTTTAAGTGAACGATATATTGCCTTATTCGTTAATATCAGATAAACCTATACTACCCATTGGCAGTAACTCGAAAACCTTTAATTTTTGCATAAATGAGCTGACTATTGTTGCCCTTTCTTTGAACAAGTGAAAACTATTGAGATGAATCTATGTAAGTAATAGGAACAGGCATATTTTCAGTTCATTCTATCTCTAATAAGAGGATGAGAAGGATCATAAACCACCATTTTAATTTAATTTAAGACACTGTATGAGATCATTTTATATCCTAATTGTATACAGCAAACCAATTGCAAAGACTCCTGACACATTCTGATTTCCATTTTGCATTTGAACGAGTTTTCATTTGTCGTATATGTACTATCTTCTATAGCTTTGCTTAAATACACAGTCTCAGATCACGGTTATATTGTTTCTATCTTGTAAGCCTGTTTTACTTCAATCCGGGAATGTTATTTACCAATCTTATATCAACAACTATATACTCCTATACTCCGCAATGATTGCCTTTATTGGTTCAACTATAACCCACTAAAGTAAATGAGATGTAACATACACCTTTTCCATTGGTAAACTTTGTTTCGTCCGATTTTTAGATTTTTAAATGTCCAAAGTAAAAGAATGGATTTTTGCCTACAGAAGCAAATTCTCTCTCTCTTGAAAAACCTCCCATGCATTACCAGGCTTTGGGGTATCAGGTAACAGTACTTTGCTTCTAGTAAACCTAAAGATATAACTAAACCAGATAATCGCACTAAGATCTAAAAAAAGCTCTGAAACAAAGGTTGCGGGGTGCGGCTGACAAATCCAATTGTTTTTCGTTTGTGTTTTCGTATCGCTTGCTTCTTTAAGGCTTTTTTTGACTCAAGGCTTGTGTCCATTGACGTAAAACAGAGGAAACCGAATATTCATGCTTGGAGTGTTTTTGCAAACCGTGGAAAGAAAGCTAATGGATACACGCACACGGACTAACATCAAGTAAGTTTGAAACATCAATAAAGTAGTTCAGAGATATATTATATCACAGGTACATCTTCGGCCATAAATATAAAAATAAAACGCACTTTTCACACAGTTTTATAAATATTAACTTTAAAAATAATCGATAAAAGCGCTTTCCTAATCTCGTAATTAGTTAAAATAACATCCATTACAATATTAACAAAACAAACCAAGTTTACGGCATCGATTGCTGGACAATTTAAAAACATTTTCGAAAATAATTTAACCAGAAAGTTATATATAGTTTAGAAAAAGGTAAAAAAATTCTGCTTTTCTTATTCAATAGAGCGCCTGATTTTCTGACATGAATAAATAAATATTTGTTTGTTTCCTGGCAGTCAATATGACATTTCATCACGAAGGCAATATTGATTGGTTACGAAATGGTAGTCATTTTCAGGTTTCGGTTGAAGGGATTTTGCAGGCACATCAAGTGTAGCCCCCCCCCCAAAAAAAAGATGACAAGACGAACCAGTTACCATCCGGGATAATTGTTCCAACATAATTGGCGTAATCTATATGCATCGTGGCTTGCTATTGGAGTGGTCTGATAGAGGCATGGGTATGCTCTGTAGTTTCACCAAATATGATATTCACTTATTTTGTTGAGATCTGGCTATGCGTATGCTTGGGCGCATTACACGAATTCCGCATTCTTGGTAAACAATATTTTTTTTTGGACAGGAATGTTCATTTTAACTTCTAAGAAATTTGCATGCCTGACTGTCTCAGCCTTCTGAGAAGGGCACTAAAGTAACAAGTGTAAAAATATTGACTTCATCTGAGTTAAGTGAATTAATATACATACGTGAATGATAAATCTAAGTTGTGGAAACCTATTCAAATGAATAAAACTAACTTTCACGAGCGTGCTACCTATTTTCCCAAATAGCACACAATTGTCTGACCCGTATTCACGCTCCATTTGCCGGAATTAAGTCAGTTTCCGACATTTGTTTTGTTGTGCAATGGCGAAGGTGTATACGGGCTTTTATTCTGATTAGACTTGATCAGATGCGATGAAAGATAAAAATAAAAACAAATGAAGTTGTTAGATGTTTATTGCAAATCATAAAATAAACGACTTTTAACAAGTCTGCCAACAACAATTGCGTACCGGGCTGTTATTTTGTCAAAGTTATCTAAATTGTTCCATACCTTACAATCTGACTTCAATATATTTCCATATCTTTCACTGAACATTTTTAAGGCTATGATGCTACGTCGAATATGAGCTGTACACGAAGGAAGGGCTATAGCGTGTTACATTTTAAAACTGGCGATTTTTGTCGGAATGCACATGCGGTTTAGTCGTGCGCGTGAGTGTGAAACATTAGTAAAGCACCACAACCTTTTCGACATCGATGTTCTCGGTTGATTTGCTTGCTCGACAAAAAAACAAGACATTTCTCATTTTGTGACTTCCGCACGAATTTACGGGGTCATGAAATCCTTAAAACCGCATATCTAATTCCATGAACACTGCGCGGCATTTCAAGAAGCCCGCAAATAAACGCGGCAATTTGTCACTTGGCTGAGCAGAGTGTAGAATTTTTCGACACCGTGGTTTTTAAAATGTTACCAAGGGTTGATGAAAGAATAAATTATTGGCCATAATGTTTTTGTACGTTTTTACACATATCAAGTTGTTCAGGTTTCGGGGTTAGAATTGTTTGATGTTTAAAGTATTAGAAGGATGTGGTTTGATAGTAAAGGAACATTGACGTAAACGTTATAAAGTGCATGCAAGTAGTTCATGGATTCGGGTCAAAAATAAAAGCATGTCAAAGATAAAGATTCTGCCTTGGCCACAAAAATAAAATAATAATTCCATATCATAATAGTCCCTTTTCCCTTACATTTATAGATCATGATCCTATCTGTGGAACGCGTACAATTTAAAACTTTGATATCCACATTTTGTCTGAGTATAGATATTGAAACACACAAAACTTGGCTTACCCAAATCCTGATGCTGTCTGCCAATGGCACAGTCATGTTATATGCCAAACCTAATCCAATAATGAAAATGGGAGTAAACTCAAACCATTCTTATAACCCTGGTACGTTTATGGTTTGATAGATAAAAAAAAAATTGCATCGGTGAGCAAAAATCTTACTACTACTTCTGTATCTACTTCTGCGAGTTCGTCCAGATGAAACTCTTGGAACCCATTGCAGGTTATCACCTTTCCTTATAAAATGTTTGTTTCTTTTAAAATGAGTCACAATTCCAATACCCAGTCTAAAAATTTAGATTTATTGTTACAAGTATGGACCAATGCTTCAGTCCACCGCCAAAACCTCTTCTTTATATGGGCCATAGTCGACAACAAACAACATGGCAACATACGAAAATCTCGACGAGAAGCTTGGTGTCTGGAACGATTTGCCTTCCTCGTTTCTGCTATACTGAAGTCAATTAATAAATAAATAAACCAAGTGTTTGGCAAAGCAAATTACATTTGCATCATCCATCAAGCGATTGCATTACGACCGTCATATACTTGCATTGCCTCATAAACTATTTTTTTCTCAGATACAATTTTTATCACTACTCTAACGTTCATCAATTAACGTCGAACATCTGGCCATCAGAATTTGTATAATAGTTGATTTATCCTCAAATTCCATAAAAACATTGCTGGAATTTTATAACGAAATTTCAGAATCAAAAAGTGTAATAACGTTCGCCTATCTACCACGAAAAATAAATCAGTAAAATATGCTGCATTTCGAACTAATTGGATAAACAAATATGGTTAAAATGCAGGAACAAAATGTATGTAATGAAGGCTGAATTAGTTTTGTAAAATTTGTTCAATTTTAAATTCGATTCAGTGGTCTTTATATG